GGGGGGGGCTTTGCCGGGTCTCAGGGGGGATTTGCAGGATTCAAAGGGGGCTCTGCAGCCTGCAAAGACCACCACAGATCCTGCAGAGCCCCCCTGAGATCCTCTAGAGACCACCACAGAGCCCACCTGAGACCACAGCCAGGTGGGGTAAATTTAGTGTATGGGGGGCGCCCGAGTTTTGTCTTGCCTAGGGCAGCCCCAAACCTAAATACACCACTGCCTGGGGTTATCCATAGCAGCGGGACTGTCCCCCTCCATGTTCATAGGTGTTGCAACCACATTGTGATGAAGACACTAGACCCAACGTACGAGACAAGGCCTCCGGTACTGGGGTGCTTTTTCAAAGCAGGAGCAGCAGTAGGACGATGCTTCCTCTGCACTGAATGCTGGTATAGCGCTTGTGCGCGTGTCCACTCAAAAGCATGACAACTCCAAGTTCCTTATTAACTCTTTTCACGGTAGAACCAGTGGGGGTGAGATATTGGAATGGTACCCAGTGAGGCAATTCCACCGCCCTGGTCAGTGCTCTGTGACCAACTCTTACCAGTACTTGAGGTTTGGTAAGTGCCATAGCGGAACTCGTGTCACTTTCAAGGCCAGTTCAGCAACATCCAGATACGGCGCTCCATAGTCAGGCTGGAGAAAGTCTGATCCACATAGCTGCAATGTAGTGAGGAATCTTGAAGTCAACAGAAGACAAAATCCCAAAAGAAAATATATAACGGGGATAAAAACACGAGCAAAAATTGGTTAGACCTTTTGCAGCAGCACTGAAGAAAAAGAGATCCACCTACCCCCCCCCCATGACACAACTGTCTATAGGCTCTGTTCACACTAAGCAGTTACAACATATAGCAATGCAGAACACAAACCCGTGGGCGCACAGTATAAAAGCATGACAGCTGCTGTGAACAAGCCTCCAATGATGTCTTCATAAAAGAACGCAGCTCTGTATTCATATGTGCCTGGAAACCATCTTCAATGGCAACGTCCAACTAGCACGTCGCAGGATGCAGCATCTGATTATTATGCACTTCAAAGTTTTCAATGCATCTTACTCCCGTGGTCCTTCTACAGCCTGTGGTATTCCTCGTCATGTGACCACAAAGCTTACAACCAAACTACACAGCACCGTGCATATCACAAGTGTTAAAGCTTTCTGAAGATGTGCGCAGTGCATTGTCTGACGGCAAAGCATTAGGTTACACTATAGCACCGAGGGTGGGTTGCAGTTTAACGCACTTCGGCTATAAAAGGGACAATGAAAGATTTCGGAAACCGCCTGCTCCGTAAAAGGAGACCGCTTCTAGAAAAGTTGGAAGCCGCCAAACTAGGTCAATCCCATAAATGCTCTCACTTGTTGCAAGCCAGCACCTTGTTGAATCTATGCCATGAAGAATTAAGACAGTTCTGAAGACAGAAGTGAGTCCAAACCGGTACTAGCAAGGTGCACCTAATAAAGTGGCCAGTGAGTGTATATGTGCAATGTGAGCTCTAAGGCACTGCTGCCTCTGACCTCTGGTCTCAGTAGATTAGGTGATGTCACTACAGCGCTGCTCACTGTTCTCCTTGCTGCAGGCTCTGACACGAGTAAGCAAAGCCCGGCCTCTGCCGAAATTGCTGCCTTCACACAGACAGTGCAGAACGAAGCATAGCAAGTTAGTAAAGGGAAACCGATCAACAGCACGGCGACAACAGGCAATATGAGTGACTAGCCCTTCAAATGTTGAGGTCCTCTAAGAATTTCATGAAAATCCACACCAGTTCAGTTCTTCAAGGGTGTGTCTCTACTTTGGTCAGCCCCTGACTACTCCAGTCCAAGGCACCATAAAGTACAATTGCTGTGTATAGCACCACTAGGCAGGAACAGCAGCCGGCTTGTGTATAAATATGGCAACCACCATTTACAGAGGCATCACACATTACATTTTATTACGGATGCACAAGTACCATGTTTCACAGACCGAGTACCGATACTTTTCCTCCTGTACTCACCGATACCAATTACCGATACCTTTTATTTAGTGTCATGTGACAGTTTTCTAAAAGATAATACAAAATCACCTGCACTCCATAGAGCGTACAGACCTTGACTAAAGGTGGCCATACACTGTACAACCATCGCAAAGACCTTAGTCTTGCGATGGTTGTAAAGTGATTAAAAAAAGTACGATCTGCCCATCTTGGACAGGCAGATCGCACTCGCGATCATCGCAAGCCCTCCCCTGAGGGGCGGGCTTCCGATGACCGCAATGCTGAACAGGCAGTGCGCGCGTGCGCACACCGGCCCGTTCGGCATTTGTCTCCCGAGCACCGTTCAAACCAGCCGAAAATCGTACAATTGTCGGCTGGTTTTCTAGCGTGCTCCTTAGACAAAAGACGTGCGGCCGTACAGTAGAAACGGTCGCACGTCTTCGTTCACACTGTTGGATTCTCGTATGATCGCCGGATTTCCCGCGATTCTCGTACGAGAATCGAGCAGTGTATGGGCACCTTAAGAGGTTGGTGCTTGAAGTGACAACACGGATGGCGCCGAGTCAGATACAGTCCATAATAGAAGTCACCAGCACTCGGTGATGTGTGCAAGAAATAAAGCACTTTTTATTCAATCGTCACATGCGTCAAACAGCCAACGTTTCAGAGCCACGCAGGATCCCTCCTTCTGGGCGACAGTGACGTCGTTTCGGGGCCACTCAGTGTCCCTTCTTCTGGGCGTCATAGTGACGTCGTTTCGGGGCCACTCAGGGTCCCTGTGTGGCACCCAAAACGTTGGCTGTTTGACGCATGTGACGATTGAATAAAAAGTGCTTTACTTCTTGCACACATCACCGCGTGCTGGTGACTTCTATTATGGACAGTTTTCTAAAAGAGAGACTAATTATTTTAGGACAGTGGTGGAGCACCGGGGCCCGGATGCAGCTGCAACTTCTGCGACACAGACTTCTACCACTGACTCCAAGCTGTGCTTGGGGCTACAAATCCCAGCAACACATTACACAGCAATGCAGAATACCATCAGCTATAAAGTACTACAAATCCCAGCAACACACTATACAGCAATGCAGAATACCATCAGCTATAAAGTACTACAAATCCCAGCAACACACTATACAGCAATGCAGAATACAATGCAGCTACATACTCTGTTGCTCACCAGGGCTCTCACCAGGATGTGAGGGCAGCAGGATGGAGGAGGTATATGGCTGGCCAGTGCTGTAAACAGGTGCCGCAAGCTCCCCAGAAGGCTGCTGGGAGGTCCCCAGCAAGCGTGGGACATTACGGCAGCTGCTTGGTGTTTAAAAATGGTATGCGTTGGTATCGGTGCTTAGTATTAGGGGCATTCTCACGAGCACTCCTTAAAATGCCCAGTATCGGCACAGATATTGGCATCGGTACATTCCTATATTTTATCAATACAATGCACCTTCAGCCAAACCACATGATCAATAATAAGATTCACCCACAAAGCCGACATGGTGTATAAACCTCGTGTTTCCGATTCGCACGTTGGCCAGTTTTGAGAACCACTTTAGATAAAGATGACCAGGGATTTTTCACATCTCGCTTTATTTTGTCCTCTTCTGCTTAACAACAGTGACAGACACCCACAAACATACATACCACAAGAGCCCTGCAACTTTTAGGATGACAAGGGTGCCGCACAGACAAAACAAAAAAAAGTCAAATGGGGAAGAAAAAACAAAAACCAAAAAAATAAAAAATTACAAAAAGCTAAAAAGATCAAAAAGGAAAAAAAACAACAAAATAAATGAACACATTTGCCAAGCCGTGACCTCTTGCACACAGACAACTTTCGGTAGTCGAGGATATAGCAACAAAAACAAAAAAAACTCCGTTTTAAAAACTGTGCCGCATACCAAAAATGCACCCTCCCGTTGTATACTCTGCTTCTTATAGCTCTATATAGATTTTTTTTTCAAACCTTTAAATGACATCACAAAAAAAAATTAAAATAAAAAAAAGCCATCAGCACAAACAGCAGCAGTAGTACTAGAAGTAGTAGTGAGCATACTGCGACCCTTTCATCGGCTGGTCGCGACTGACAGGAGACTCCGTGTTGTGAATGCAGCCTCTTCACAGGTCGATACCTTGTTGGTGGTGGTGGTGGGGGAG